TCCTGTTTCCAGCCTCCCCAACGCTGGGATTACAAGCGTGTGTCACCACACCCAGACTCTTTGGCTCAATTAGCACACCGTGGGCGCAGGGGCAGCAAGGCACGTGATGGTCAAGCAAGTTTCTGAGACAGGAACAACCCAGGATCGGTAGAAACATGGGCCATGTATGAAATGAAATTGTCTAGTAGCCACTTGGAAAAAGTAAAAATCAACTCCTGAAATCAATCTCAAAACCTTCTCTTGAGAGTGGACATGGTGGCGCCTGCCTGTAATCCCAGTACTTGGGAGGCTGAAACAGGAGAATCACTACAAGTCTGATCTGTGTAGTAAGACCCTGATGACCCTGTACTAAATACGTAAAAAATTAAATTAATTTTTTAAAACTTCTCTTATTAAATAATTATATATATATATATATATATTCATATTATTATTTCCACAGGTCAATGTGAAAAATCAGTGAAATATAGTATATTACTCTCTTACTGCACACTACTTTCATACTAAGTCTTTCAAATCTGATGGGCATGCGTTCTTACAGCCTATGACATGGGACTAAGCCACATGGCAAGGGCATAAGGCCCCATATGACAAACAGCACCGTATGGATGGTGCAGGCCTGGGAACACGCAGGGCAGGGTCAGAAACAGACTTTGCTGGAGTTTCACTGAACTGTGAAGTGGCTTTAAGCAATGAACTTTAATGTTCTGCTTCCTGACCTGCTCCAAGGGTAGAAAGATGGGCAGCTGGAGAAAAGAAGGAGGGAGGGAAAGGAAACACGGGAACCCCTAGTGTTATTCAGCATGTACTGTGTAAGTACACGACCTATGCCTGATTGTGTTGACTCACTACATCATCACAAAAATTACTTGAGGAAGTCTGCTGCAAAGATGAGAAGAGAGGACAACCCCTTTGCAAGAGCCTGACATAGACTTCGCATACCTCATCACACGAAATCTCAGCCCCGGCTCGTGTGCCCTGTTTTCTCATCCCCAAGAACACTGAGCCAGTGCACGGGGTGGAGAAGCACATCCTATCCATCCAGCCAAGGTAGCCGCAGAGAAGGAGGCGGACATGAAGTCTCCATTCTTACTCTCCCTAGAACAGAACAAGCCAGATACAACACATCATATCACGCCTCACTGATCCATTCTGCCTGTCTTTGAAAATTAATCCAACATTTACTATGCTTTGCCTCCACAACGACAGAGGAAGGGACATTTCTTGACCCCTAAGAGAAGGAAGCAGCGTCTGGGATGGGGAAATTTAGATGCGGTAGTTTTCGTGCAGCGAGTTGCAGGTGGAGGTTTTAGCTCATGACTATCTGACTCTGGTCACGGAAGCTTTCTACCACTGACTTCCTGGTGCTTTTAGACCTTTTTACCTTTAAAGGTTGTGGTAAAATATGCATGACAAAATGTCCCTTCTAAGTGTACAGCGCAGTGGCATTAAGAGCATTTCAACTGTTTTGCCACCACTATCTACAAAATCCATGCCCATTAAGCCATAAGCCCTGAGCTTCCCCTAGGCCTTAGCATCACTAGCCTGCAGGTTGCGAAATCATAACACTATGTGGCATTCTATGTCGGACTAGTTTTATAATGTTTCCAAAATTCATCGATGGCATGTCTCTGTGCTTCATTCAGTTTTAGGGCTTCAAAATATTCAGTCAGGCGGAAACACCACATTTCCCTTATGGGGTCATAGACAGCGAGGTTGTTTCCACATTCTTTCTACTGGGAATAATTTTTGTTGGAGCATCTCCTTGCTCCACACACTTGCTGCTCAATATTTTCTCCTTAGAGAGCAAGACGCTTCCCTAGGCAAGTAATCTGCCTGGCAGGTGCTCGGTAGCAACTGCGGAAACATGGGACACACTGTTGGGCACAGAGCACTGAGGTGAGCTTGTTCTACCTGGTGTAGGAGTTCCAGAGAAGGGGAGAGTGTGTGTCTGGGAAACGTTCTGGGTTCTGGGTGCTGAATGAAGACAGTGAGAAGCTACACACTGCTCGATAACTAAAAAATGCCCATTGCCAAACCCTCGCAGGTGTGGACAACATGGTGAGCAACTCCTCTCTCCCCACAAACACGTCCGCCGGGACTGTGACTCTGCCTGCTGGCTACATTGCCCTGAATGTCTTCTCTTACACAGTCTTCGCTGTCACCTTTATCCTGGGTGTGCTGGGCAACGGTCTTGTGATCTGGGTGGCGGGGTTCCGCATGAAACGCACCGTGACCACCATCGGTTACCTGAACCTGGCCTTTGCTGACTTCTCTTTCACCATGACCTTGCCTTTCCTGGCGGTCCGGCAGGCCTGGGGAGGATACTGGCCTCTCGGTTGGTTCCTCTGCAAGTTCATTTTTACTATAGTGGACATCAACCTGTTTGGCAGCGTCTTCTTGATTGCTCTCATTGCGCTGGACCGCTGCATTTGTGTCCTGCATCCGGTGTGGGCCCAGAACCACCGGACTGTGAGCCTGGCCAAGAAGGTGGTCATGGTGGTGTGGATGTGCGCGCTGCTCCTTACCTTACCAGTCATCATTCGTGTGACCACGGTGACTCATGCACCTGGGAAAACAGCCTGCACCTTTGACTTTTCACCCTGGACCACAAACCGTACAGAGCGGATAAGGGTGGCCATCACCATGCAGACCGTCCGAGGGATCATCCGGTTCGTTGTTGGATTCAGCTTGCCCATGTGCACTGTTGCCATCTGCTACGGACTCATCGCCACCAGAATGTACAAGCAAGGCCTCATCCAGTCCAGCCGTCCCTTGAGGGTTCTTTCTTTTGTTGTCATTGCCTTTCTCCTCTGCTGGTGCCCTTTCCAGATAGTGGCGCTCATGACCACCATCAGAATCCGAGACATCTTTAGAGGGATGGGTGAAAACCTTAAAATTGCAGTGACGGCAACGAGCTCCCTGGCCTACTTCAACAGCTGCCTCAACCCCATGCTGTACGTCTTTATGGGGCGGGACTTCCGGGAGAGACTGCTCCACTCCCTGCCAGTCAGTCTGGAGAGGGCACTGACTGAGGACTCGGCGCCGACCGGTGACACATCAGGCAATTCTGCTTCAACTCCTGCAAAGGTCGAGTTACAGGCGAAGTGAGGAAGGTGCCAGGGATGCTTTTGAGGGCCTAGATCATCTTCAGTCTCATCTCCTCTCGAGTTGTCCTGTACCACAGGCACTCCTATGCTTCTTGGGGTTTGCTGCTCCTTGGAAATAATTGTTTGTGCCCCCTGTTTTGAAGAGAAGAACCAGACGCAAGGCTACTGGTGATGTCTTTTTTTGATTGGGGAGTTCCAGCTTGGGGTGGTCAGAGGTGAGAAAAATAGAGGTCACGCACCCCCACTAGCTGGAAATGGTCATGATCACAATCATTATGCTCTAGGATAATTGTTGCTAATGTCCACTTCGGCTCGCAGAAGTGTCTCCCTGTGCACAATGAACCCTACTGCTTCGCCCCAAGGAAATGAAACTGGGAGAAGTACAAAATGTAAGAGAAGTACTTTTTCACTAGCTCAGCTTTTAGTGATCAATAACTAAGTGAAAATAAAAAGCCATAAAGATATCAGCCAAAGGCCCAAAGGCCCTAGAGTTAAACATCAAATTGCCCCATGTGCTGCATCACAAAAGTTGGGACTCAACTATTCTTCCCACAGAACCTCTATTTTCACTTTTTACTCCACCTGTGGCTGGAACAGAATTAATTCAGTATGTGGTACTTGCTGTCTTTATTTCCAATGTGACTAACCCAGGCTACAACTCAGACCTCTCCCTCAATTTCCTTATAAACTCCTTGCTCAAGGTCCGTAAGCATGGGATCTAGTTTGGGTGGAGTTAGGTCCGTCCTAGTCAGCCACAGATCATATGAAAGTGAACGGTTGGACTCTAGAAACCCTTGTTCCTAAGTGTCCATCCTCTTTCCTTTCTCCTCCCCTCCAGACTTTTTGCTCTTCTTTTATGCAACTCAGAGACTTTGCCCCTTGGACCCAACGACTGCCTATCTCCAGGTCTCCTTTGCTAACCCAAGCCAATCATTCATGACCACAGGTTCCTTAAGGGGATTGCTGGTGCCAGCAATCATCAAATCATTCCGATGCCACAACTCTGTATCATTTATTGGGATAGGGAAAAGGAAAAAGTGGTAGATGAAAGAGGGTTGGTAACAAAAAAGGGGATACAGATGAATGTGCATTTTGTATCTGTGTATTCAAAGTGGTTAGGATAGATATATAGTTACATTCTCTGAATGAATAGAATGATTTGTTCTAATAGTGTTTGCAAATACGATATCAAGTCTGCATCTTGAACAGCAATTAACCACTAAGAAGAATGTATGCAGTGTGTTAATTATTGAAACTGTCTTACCCATTGGATTTGAAACTGTCTCATTGCTATTTGTTTATGAATAAAATCATGGCAAAAAAAAAAAGAGGGTTGGTGAAGAGGCCTAGGAGTACGCAGCATCTGCAGATACTGGATCATGCCAGTTGGTCATGGGATGGAGCACGATGGTTGGTTTCATCCAAGTTCCAGGGGAGATTCCTGAGTTTGAGCACATGGTGTGGTCTCAGGGACCAGTTACTTCTCTGCCACCCCAGGATGGCCTTTTTGTGCAGCCCCAGAAAATGCCTCAGCTTTGCACTGCAGCACCCAATGCACTTATTTCATCTAATGTCCCTAACCCTGGCACTTGCAGCGGGCATCAACTGATTCTTTCCTTCCTCCCCCCAAAAGGCTTCAATAAATGTTAGTTTACCTAAGTCTTATGCTTTGTACCTCTTTTATCAATACTCAGGGACTGGCACATGCAATGAATCTTTGGCTCACCAACTCCCTGAGGTCAGCTGAGTTCTCTTCTTCACCTATGAGGAAATGAGAACAGGAACAGGATGTGACAAGCTGGGACCCGCCGCTGGTCAGAGATCATGGTTCTCACAAAACGCTGCCCTCAGTTCTGACACTAGCTGCGAGCTTGGGAGGGTCTCCACACACCCTAGGGTTCTCTAATTTACTATAAAAACTCACAAGGAGAATGGAGCAAGTAATCCAAGCTTACCAGGGGCAGAGAAAGAGAGGTCACTTGGTGTACTCTCCATAGCTGGTCTCCTTTAAGTCCCGTGTTCTTCCAACAAGTAGGTGAGACTCAGGTTCACTTTACTGAGTTGCTGTGGGTTAACTCCAATAAGGATCTATTCCCGAGATTCCCACATTCTGTGGCAGACAGGCTGGTGCCTACAACCGAGGCATGATGACGAAAGGCAGGAAAGAGCTGGCATGACCCTTCACCCAGTGGCCCGGGTGGGATAGCTCCTTCTTTTGGTGAAACGGCAAGCCAAAGAGAAAGCAGCCTAGGAATTGGGGTCCAGAGGAAGGCCAAATGATAGCCCCGTCCAATGCTGCATCCTTGCAACAGTCAGCTCACCCCCTGAAGGGTGGTCGTGAGTGGAAAACAAGCCCTTCTAGCAGAACCGAGACGTGAAGAGTGGGAACTCTCCTGTCCCAGTGTCTGGGCTAGAATTCTGACCTCATTTTTCAGGAGCTCCGTGAGCTAGGGCAAATCTATTTTCTTTCCTGTGTAAGTATGGGTTCCCTCAGGAAAGAGATGGCATAACTGATTAAAATTAATCACACAAAAAGAGTTTAACCAGGTGTGGTGGCACACACCTGTAATCTCAGCCCTAGGGAGTTAAAACAAGAGGATCGCTAACAGTCCAAGCTGAGTAGCAAGACCCTGTACCAACTACATTTTTTAAAAAAAGAAGAAGAAAAAGAATTTAATGAGCAGGTGGTGATGCACCCCTGTAATCCCTGAGTTTGGGAAGTTCAGGCAGGAGGATTGTGGTAAGTTTGACACTCGCCTGGACACAATAGTGAGTTAAAATCCAATCTGAGCTACAGAAGGTGGCCCTGTGTCAAGGAGGCAGAGGAGGGGAAAGTGGGAGGGAATGAGGGAAGGAAGGAAAGAAAGAAAGAGAGAGAGAGAGAGAGAGAGAGAGAGAGAGAGAGAGAGAGAGAGAGAAGACATTAGTGTTGCAGCAGAGATTATCTGAGATTATCTGTTGTAGCAGAGATTAGTGAAGGCATGGGCAGGGCTAAGAGTCTTCATGAGGGACACCAACACGCCCAGGGCCAAGCACTGTAGTGTATGTTTCCTGTGTCTGCTACAACAAATAACCACAAACTTGGTAACTTAACACAGAACAAGTTTATTAGCTAAAGATTGAGGATATCAGAAGCCTGAAATGGGATTCATAGGGCGAAAATTAACTACAAGCCTGGCTACTTCTTCCGTAACCTCTGAGGGCAACTGTTTTCTTGCCCTGTCCAGCTCCTAGAGGCAGCTGCCATTTCTCTCTCTCTCTCTCTCTCTCTCTCTCTCTCTCTCTCTCTCTCTCTCTCTGTCTCTCTCTCTCTCTC